GAGAGAAGCTTGCTCAAGAGAGTCTTGCCACGCATTTTGTCTTCGACGTTCTTCGTCTTTGCAGCCATGTGCCGGGGTAACACGATGGAGTCTATGGCAGAGTCTATGGCGCCTCGCTGCGTGGTCCTGGTCGACCCTTACTCCACTGGAGCTATGTTGGCTCCTGAGCTTGATCTGCGAGGCTACTCAGTGATTGCCCTCTGGACCAAGGAGGTTGGTGACAACCGCGGCCACTTGCCCAAGGCGGCCAAGGGCTTTCCAGAAAAGTTCCTGGCAGAGGTGGACGAGCAAGACACCTTGGCCCTCACCGCCGACGCGCTGCGCAAGGCGGCGAACTGCAGCGAACCGCTGGCGTTGATCTGCGGTGGTGAGACGGGCGTGAAGGTGGCGGATGCTTTGTCGGAGCACATGGGGCTGCGGGGCAACACCACGAAAGGTGGCATGGCGAACCGCCGCGACAAGCAGGTGCAGCAGGATGCGGTGAAGGCCTTCGGCTTGCGCTCCGTGCGCTCTGTGTGTGGCAGGGCCTGGGAGGAGGTGAAGGACTTTGCGGAGACGGAGGTGCTGCCGATGATTGTGAAGCCTGTGGAGTCTGCAGGCTCTGATGGGGTGAAGCTTTGCCACAGCCTAGCAGAGGTGGAGGAGCACTTCCAGCTGCTCATGACCTCTCAGCGCAAGTGCGGCGCCCAAGGGGCAGCTGTCTTGCTGCAGGAGTACCTCAAGGGCACGGAGTACATCGTGGATCACGTGTCCCGTGATGGTGTGCACAAAACCACCATGGTCTGGGTCTACGACCGCCGCCCTGCCAACGGCGCTGGCTTCGTCTGCTTCGGGACACTGTGTGTGTTGCCTGACAGCCCAGTTGCCCAGGAACTCATTGCCTACACCCGGGGCTGCCTGGACGCCTTGCGCATCACCGATGGTGCCACTCACACGGAGGTGATGATGACTGAGACCGGGCCCTGCTTGGTGGAAGTCAACAGCCGTTGCCACGGGGCTGCAGGTTCCTGGATGCCCTTGGCACGAGCCATGACTGGCTACACGCAGGTCGATGCGTGCGTGGATGCATTCCTGAGTGCTGAGGCCTTTGAGCGCCTTCCTGACGTGCCACCTCCGTTTCTGGCATCTGGGCAAGTGTCCATGCTGGTCTCATACCATGAGGGCCAGGTGGAAGCCACACAGTTTCAGAAGGTTCGAGAGCTCCAGTCCGTGGTGTTCCTGGAAGAGAATCTTCATGCAGGCCATCGCGTGGAGAAGACCATCGATGTGTTTAGCCTTGTAGGGATGTGTGTCTTGGTGCACTCCGATCCGGCTGTGTTGGCCCGTGATCTGGACTGCATCCGCCAGATGGAGCACGAAGGCTCCCTTTTCGTCTTGGCCAACTGAGCTTGAAATGCTGGAAGCAGACCTCTTCTGCTTGATCTTCGTTTATCTTCCCCTATCCCATCCCCTTTGGTCAGTCCACCGGGATGGCGTGTTGTTGCATGTCATCGACCCCCGCGCCCGATCCGACCAAGAAGCGTCGATCCCCGTGAGGTTCGAGCCTCCTTGCTGCGAGGATTTGGCCTCCCAAAGCTCCTTGACTTGCGATGGCGTGTCAGGAGACGACTGTACAGGCTTCGGGTGAATGAAGCACGCTGGCACTCGCGAGCCCAGGCACGGACATTGAAAGTTTAGCCAGTCTTACTGCTATTGCTTTTGCGATTGGTGTCATTGTTGTTATTGCTATTATTGCTAATGCTAATGTTCTTATTGTTATGATTGTTGATATTGGTGCTCTTGTTAATTGATATCAACCCTAAGCCCTAAGCCCTAAACCTTAGCCCTAAGCCCTATAAGCCCCAAGCCCTAAGCACTAAGCCCTAAGACCTAAACCCTAAACCCTAAACCCTAACCCTAAACCCTAAACCATAAACCCTAAACCCTAAACCCTGTTTTATCTCGAGGGTTCAGGGGGCCGGGAAGCACGGCAGCCGAACCTGCCAGGTCCACGCGGCAACGGCGCAGCAACTTCGCCACCGGCCGGTGGCTCAGAAATGCCATGTTCCAGTGAAGTAGGGTTTAGGGTTTGGGGTTTAGGGTTCAGGGTTTGGGGTTTAGGGATTAGGGTTTAGGGTTTAAGGTTTGGGGTTTAGGGTTTAGGGTTTGGGGTTTAGGGTTTAGGGTGTAGGGTTCAGGGTGTAGGGTTCAGGGGTTAGGGTTCAGGGTTGGGTTCAGGGTTTAGGGTTTAGGGTTTAGGGTCTAGGGGTCTCTGTGCACATGCAAGCGAGCATCAGCTGGGCAGGTAAGCGTGGACTGCTAGTAATCAGAACCAGATGGTCCAATGCATAGGGCGAAGGTGAAAGTGGCAAGCCCGCATCATGAAAATCATGGGAATCATGTGCCAGTTGGGCAGGTGAGCGCAAAAGTGAGTGCGTACCAAGCACTTGCTGTAGTAACCAGCACCAGTGCCGATCATGAGTGACAGCAGTGAAGGAGCGCTTCAGTGTCGGAGAACCAGCATCATGAGCAGCAGCGCAGCTGCCGTGCTGCACGTGGAATGTGGCTGGAGGAGCACGCGTCATGAGCGTTAGCCCGCTGAGCTCGGCCGTTGGCCCCGGAACGCGTATCGGAGCAGAAAGGCTCTGTAGCTGAGACAATCCTGGCGGACCGGATGAACCCCAAAATTGGAGCCACACCCACGTTAGCATGACCCGACCCTAAACCCTAATTACCAGGCCTGCCCCACACCCAAACCCCTAAACCCTTAAACCCCAGAACCCCTAAACCCAGAAACCTTACACCCTAAACCCTAAACCCTAAGCCCTAAGCCCTAGAAGCCCTGAACCCCAGCAAGAACTGAGGTCTCAGCCGACCTCCGTGCAGAGCTCGCAGCACTGCGCGAGACGGTGCGGTGGGGAAAAGGAGCCTTCGGCTAGGTTCAATCACGGTCCGGAGCGTTGGGTTTAAGGGCTTGGGCCCGTGCAGGCTTTGGGGGGGTGAGGGTTCAGGGTTTAGGGCTAGGGTTCGAGAATCCACTGCTGCTGCTGCTGCTGCTGATGATACTAGTGATGATGATGATGATGATGATGATGATGACAGTAAGAACATTGGCCTTAATAATAAGGATAAGGATGAGGGTGAGGGTTAGGGTTCGGATGAGGATGGCGACGACGCAGATGAAGATGCCCTAGGGTGCTGCATGGGGATCGTGTTAGCTTTCATCAGCACAACTACTGCCGATGGAGACTCTCCAGTCTTTAGATACATCGGCAAAAGTGCATGCAGCGCTGTGAAGGTTGAGAAGCACGAGAAGATGCTGAGGCCTGGTACCCGCAGCTATACCTTGACATGCCCGTCATGAGCGCGCACGTAAAGTTTCGACTTCAAGAAAACTCCCCGAAAAGCACATCCTCCATTCTCTGAGCAGAGGCCAGCCTCTTGCTGTTCCGTAGCTTGAATCCTTGAACGCGCATGCAACATAAGCGGCGCTGGAAAGGCATCGCGCATCCTGGATCTTGGAAACCCCAACTCTTTTTGCTGATCCGATCTTGTACCTCACAAGAGGCAGGGCAAACCCTAAACCCTAAGCCCTGAGCACTAAACCCTGATCCTTGAGCCCTAAGCCCTAACCCCAAACCCGAAGCCCTAACCTGGCCCTATAAACCGTAAGCCCTAAACCTCAAGCGTGGCGGCCCTAAGCCCTCGCAAGAGGCTACAGCTTTAGACCCTTCAAGGAGGTGGTCAGATTAGGGCTTTAATTTTTATGGCTAAAGATTTAGGGTTTCAAGGTTCAGGGTTTAAAGAATTACAGGGTTGTAAGGTTTAGGGTTGAGGGTGTGTGCCCGAAACGGTGCTTCTGGCAATCTTTTTGGCAATGGCGCCCTCTTAAAAAAGCAACAAACCCTGCACCCCAAACCCCAAACCCAAAACTCCCGAACGCAGATACGTGATGGACCGCTATGTTGAGAAAGACCTGCGCACGGCCCCGCAGCCCCAGCAAGGTGGCGTGCAGGCGGACGTGCCAGCTGTGAGTCCCTAAAGTATCCTGAATTAGGTCCAGGGTTTCAGGGTTTGGGGCTTATTGCTTAGGGCGTAGGGCTTTGGGCTTTGGGCTTTGGGCTTTGGGCTTAGGGCGTAGGGCTTAGGGCTAAGCTCGGTGTAGGTTGATATGGGCGGAGTGAACTCACACAGCTCTGTGGGGTCTACAATAGCAAATTCCCGGTTTCCCCGTGGTGAGGCCCCTCAACCCGAACCCTGAACCTTGCGCACCTTACCCAAAGGGCCCAAGACCCGAAATAATCAGGCCTTTGGGCCCCCAAAACCGATAAAGGGCCTTAAAGAATCGGGTCTTTGGCCCCTTTTAGGGTTACCCAAAAACAGCCATGAAGCTGCCTGGAACCTCCCAACCATAACGATGATGCCGACAGCAGAGAAGCCCTGGTCCGTGCCATCCTCAGGCCCTAAGTCACCCTAAACCCTAAACCCTAAACCCTAAACCCTAAACCCTAAACCCTAAACCCTAAACCCTAAACCCTAAACCCTAAACCCTAAACCCTAAACCCTAAACCCTAAACCTAACCCTAAACCCTAAACCCTAAACCCTAAACCCTAAACCCTAAACCCTAAACCCTAAACCCTAAACCCTAAACCCTAAACCCTAAACCCCAAACCCCAAACCCTAAACCCTAAATCCTGAACCCACAAACCCACAAACCCTGAACCCACAAATCGAAAAGCCCAAGCCCAGACCCCGAGCACTTACTATAGCGGTCGGAAGAAGTACTAACAGTATTCTCTCATGTTCCTTTATGAAGCCTGTTCCCCTGGAACCCCAAAGCCCGGCAGCCGGGACCGGCTTAGTTCGTAGTAGGGACTTGGGGAATTCGGTGGGATCCTGGAGAGTCTGGATCAAACCCTAAGCGCCCGAAACCCTAAACCCCACACCTTAAACCCTAAACCCTAAACCCTAAACCATAAACCCTACACCCTACACCCTAGACCCTAAACCCCAAACCCTAAACCCTAAACCCCACACCCTAAACCCTAAACCCGTCAGTTGCGAGGCCTCAGTGGTGAACGCCTCCCAAGCCGGCGCCACAGCGGCTGCGGAGGTGAAAAGCGAGGAGCGGCGGTTAGGGTTTAGGGTTTAGGGTTTAGGGTTTAGGGTTTAGGGCTTAGGGCTTAGGGCTTAGGGCTCAGGGCTCAGGGCTTAGGGCTTAGGGCTCAGGGCTTAGGGCTTAGGGCTTAGGGCTTTGAGTGAGGCCTTAGAGTCTTACCCGTTTTCATTGTAAAATTTATGTAATATACTTTTATCCACATGATGATCTAAACCCTAAACCCTAAACCCTAAACCCTAAACCCTAAACCCTAAACCCTAAACCCTAAACCCTAAACCCTAAACCCTAAACCCTGAACCCTGAACCCTAAATCCTAAACCCTAAACCCTAACCCTAAATAAATAAATAAGTAAATAAATAAATAAATAAATATATATATATATATATATACAGACTGTATATAGTCATAATATTGGGAGGCTTGTAAGGGCCCTGAACCCTGAGCCCACAAGGGTTTAGGGTTAGATTGAGAAAGCCCGACACCTGTGGCCGAAAGCGCTTGTGTCCTCTAAGAGTAGTTTAGGGTTTAGGGTTTAATGGCAAGGTTTGGGGTTTAGAGTTTATGGTTTAGGTTCGATTGTTGAGGCTAAACCCTAAATCCTAAACCCTAAACTCCTAAACCCTAAGCCCTAAACCCTAAACCTTAAACCCTAAACCCTAAACCCTGAACCCTGAACCCTAAATCCTAAACCCTAAACCCTAACCCTAAATAAATAAATAAGTAAATAAATAAATAAATAAATATATATATATATATATATACAGACTGTATATAGTCATAATATTGGGAGGCTTGTAAGGGCCCTGAACCCTGAGCCCACAAGGGTTTAGGGTTAGATTGAGAAAGCCCGACACCTGTGGCCGAAAGCGCTTGTGTCCTCTAAGAGTAGTTTAGGGTTTAGGGTTTAATGGCAAGGTTTGGGGTTTAGAGTTTATGGTTTAGGTTCGATTGTTGAGGCTAAACCCTAAATCCTAAACCCTAAACTCCTAAACCCGAAGCCCTAAACCCTAAACCTTAAACCCTGAACCCTCAACCCTAAGCCCTATTTTGGGTTTTAGGACCTCGGGATTGACGCCTCCTCAAGCCCCCCTTCCCCGTAAGCTGCCCCGCAGGCACGAGCAGGCCGGGGAGCGCTTGGTGCCGGCAGGGCTAGGCTTTGGGGATTTAGGGTTTAGGGTTGGGGCTTGGGGTTTGGGGTTTGGGGTTTGAGGGTCTAGGATAGGCTCATCATGGCGTCTGGAAGAGGTTTAAGGGTCAGCTGCAGGATAATTACCCTCCAATCCCCAATGAGCTACACCCCAAATCTAGGCCGGCCCCACACGAAACCCAGCCCTAGGCCCCCCCCCCCCCCCCAACACCCCTGCCCAACTCCCCAACTCTGACCGTGCCCTGCACTCTCTGAAGCATCTGATGCCCTGATTTCCCAAACTTCCCCCAAAACCCTCCTCCCCGAAGCCTCCCCAAGCCCTAGGCCCCTCAATCCGATAACAAGAAGAGCTCAAGCCCAAATCTACAAACGCCTGAACCCCAAGCCCAGCCTAAATTCCTAGCCCGCCCCTAAACCCCAAACCCTAAACCCTAAACCCCAAACCCCAAACCCTAAACCCTAAACTCCTAAGCCCTCGACTGCGTGGCAGGGGATGCGCCTCGCAAGCGGAAAGCCGGCGGGGCCAGGGAGCTTGGCCTTTGGGGTGGGAGGGGGGGGGGGGGTTCAGGGTTTAGGGTTTAGGGTTTAGGGTTTGGGGTTTAGGGTTTAGGGTTTGGGGGGGGGGGAGTGTTTGAGGGGTTAGGGTTTAAGGTTGTTGAGGGTTCAAGGTGGTTGAGGGGTTTAGGGGTTTGGGATTTAGGGGTTAGGGTTTGGGGGGTTTAGGGTTTAGGGGTTTGAGGGGTTTGGGGGTTTAGGGTTTAGGCTTTAGGGGTTTAGGGGTTTGGGCGTTTCGGGGTTTAGGGTTTAAAGTTTAGGGGTTTGGGGTTTAGGGTTTAGGGTTCAGGCTTGAGGGACTACGGTTTGGGGCTTTGGGGCTTCAGTGCTTTAGGGGTTGTAGGCTCTAGGTTTGAGGGATTAGGTAGCCCCAAGCTTAGCCCCAAGCTCACAAACCCAAACTGGCCCTAAACCCTAAACCCTAAACCCTAAACCCTAAACCCTAAACCCTAAACCCTAAACCCTAAACCCTAAACCCTAAACCCTAAACCCTAAACCCTAAACCCTAAACCCTAAACCCTAAACCCTAAACCCTAAACCCTAAACCCTAAACCCTAAACCTTAAACCCAATCCAAGGACACCTCGATGGTGGGCATGCCACAGCCCGAGGCCACGGCAGAGGCAGTCGCTAGCGGGCGCGTCTGAAACCCTAAACCCTAAACCCTAAACCCTAAACCCTAAACCCTAACCCCTAAGTCCTAAACCCTAAACCCTAAACCCTAAACCCTAAGCCCTAAGCCCTAAGCCCTAAGCCCTAAACCCTAAAACCTAAACCCTAAACCCGAAACCCTAAACCCTACACCCTAAACCCTAAACCCTAAACCCCGAAACCCTAAACCCTAAACCCCAAAACTCTAAGCCCCTAAATCCTAAACCCTTGTAAACCCCACACCCTAAATCCTGACAAAAACCTTAAAAACCCTAAACCCTACAACCCCTATGAGATGAGTAGTGTTTGGAGTTAGCTGAAGGTCTCAGTCAGGCGTTTGGAGCTTATGGTTGAGGACACGTCGCAACTCAGGGCTCCGCCCCAGTCGCAAGACATCCTACCCAAACACCGCACCCCCAAACCCTAAACCATAGACCCTAAACCCTTAACCGCCTGACTAAGCCCTAAACCATAGAACCCTCAAGCCGAAAGTTCGAAACTCGACGCTCCAATAATCCCAGCCCATGCTTACCTCTAGTGTAGACTCGGCCCTCTACACCCTAACTCCCCTAAACCCCTTAGTGACTCTACACCCCCTGAAGCCCCTACACCCTCTAAACCCTCTTGACCCTCTAAACCCCCTAAACCCTCTCAACCCTCTAAATTTCCAAAATTTCTAACCCGTTTTCAATCATCCACTTGTTAAGCTTTCTTGCGTTTTCTCTGTCTTCCCTAGAAGGTTATACCCAAAAAATCCGTTCAGGCGAGTGCTTCCTCGGATTGAACACGCGGCGTCTGAGATGCCGAGGGGCAGCTCCTGGGGCGCGAGGGGTTTTTGGGGCTTTAGGGGTTTTAGGGGGGTTTAGGGGTTTTAGGGGTTTTAGGGGTTTTAGGGGTTTTAGGGGTTTTAGGGGTTTTAGGGGTTTTAGGGGTTTTAGGGGTTTTAGGGGTTTTAGGGGTTTTAGGTGTTTAGGGGTTTGGGATCTTACGGAATGAAGACTGGGGGGTCCCTTTGGTACGAAACTTGATAGTTGCGTTACCACAACTGGCCAAACCCCAGGTGGTCAATCCCTAAAACGCAAACCCTAAACCCTAAGCCCCTAAGCCCCCAACCCCAAGATATTGAGGAAACTCTCCAACTTCCTTTGACAACCACCCAGGCTAGGATGGCACCTACCAAACAACCACCGAGTATCCAAGATGGACGGAACTGCGATCGGTAGGGTTTAGGGTTTAGGGTTTAGGGTTTAGAGTTTAGAGTTTAGGGTTTAGGGTTTAGGGTTGGGCCTCCAAACCCTACACCGATCTTAGATAGGTGGGCGACTGCAGAGTCGGTGGCAGCATGTTCGGCCCTCCCATATTCTCCCATGTCCCTCTCGAAGAACCCTGACAGATTCAACCCTAAACCCTAAGCCCCAAACCCTAAACCCTAAACCTTAAACCCTAAACCCTAAACCCTAAAGCTAACGCCTAAACCCCAAACCCCAAACCCTAGACCCAAACGAATTCACGGTTTAAATTTGGTGCACTCCGTGCGTGGCTTCGCCTCCTCCCGCATGCATATGCACATCATTGCAAGAACACGAAGAATTTTACGAGGTTTTGGGCTCATCTTCAGCAGGGTTTTAAGTTTAAAGGGCTTACCTACTATAGGGCTCGGTATAATTACTAGTGGTTAGGGTCTCTTTATAGTTATACTACAACAACCCCCAAAACCCTATTCGAGTATTTTAAGCCCCCTATATTAGATGACAAGAGAAACCTCTCAGTATGGAACGCCACCCCCTCTCAGTGCTTTACCGTTGGCTGACTCCCCAGGCATTGTTGCTGCGAACTATTGGCTTCCTTTGGTTTAGGGCTTAGGGTTTAGGGCGACAACCTACCCCCAAAGTGCGGAGCCCCAAGTTTCGGGGATGTCGAACAAGCTGCTCTTCGTTTAGTTTCACATGGCACGGCCGGTCCGTGTCAGCGTCAGAACAGGCGCAGGAAGGGCTATCTCCCCCGGCAAAGATTTGGGCTTTTTAGCCTAGAGCCAAAACCCTAAACCCCTTAACCCCAAATCCCCAAAGCCTAAACCCTAAACCCCCAAACCCCTAAACCCCTAAACCCCAAACAGGGTTTAATGGAGCAACGTTTCCTTTGCCGCGGCCCCTCCAGCTGCCGCCCTTGGGCGGTAGCGCGCAGTGCGCCGGAGCATCTCCTTCGCGCAGCCACCAAAAGCATCTCCGGGGGGCCTAGACCCCTAAACCCGAAACCCATAAAACCACGTTGAAACCCGTTTTAAACGCTTTCTAAACCCTTTTTTTACATCCTTTTTAAACCCCTTTAACAAAACCCTTTTACACCGCTTAAACCCAAAGCCCTAAACACCCATTTTGGAAGAAGGGGCCTCCTCCACCGACATGCCAACCCAACAGACGCCCCAAAATCCTGACCCCGAATTAAGAGCCCTGGATGATTTAGGGTTTAGGGTTTAGGGTTTAGGGTTTAGGGTTTCTTGAACCCCCCAAAACCCCCTGGTAAACCCCTAATTAATCCTCGAAGCCCTTCATCAACCAAAACACCGAGCAAATCGTCCCCTGCAGCCTCAGCCTCTCGAAGCCCTGAGCGCCAAGCCTACACAACGATCCGCCGCTCGTTTTTTTTGGCAGTTGCTCAAGTTGAACTCGCTAAACCCTAAACCCTAAACCCTAAACCCTACACCCCAAACCCCAAACCCCAAACCCTAAACCCTAAACCCTAAAGCCTAAAGCCTAATGCCTAATGCTAAAGCCTAAACCCTAAACCCTAGCACAGAACCGAGCAGAGATGGAGCCGCCCAACTTCGGTGGGTGGGACTGCGGAATTGGGGCACAGGGGATGTTCAAGGGATTAAGACTCGTACCCCGAAGGTTGTACCCCTAAAGTGTGGGTTTTAGGGTTTAGGGTCTAGGGTCTAGCCCCTTCATATCCACCTAAGAGGGCCCTCATACTACCTTAAATCTGTAAAACGTTACGGGTCCAAGGTACGACCCCTAGAGATGTTCTGGGGCCTTTTGGTGTTTGCTTGTTTGCTTGTTTGCTTGCTTAGTGGCTTGCTTGCTTACTTGCTTGCTTGGCTTCATAGGTACGGTTTGGGCTTTAGTGTTTAGTTGTTTTGTTTGTTGCTGCGTTTGAAGGTTCGGGTTACCCTGAACCTACACGGCTTGGTGGTGTTTTGCTGTAACTTTAGATCCTTAGCTTTTTTGGGTTGATTGGGTTTCCTAGTCAGGCAGCTAAAAATTTTACTTGATAGCTGCCCTCCTATGTGCGGCCGAGACGGGAGCCCCAAACCGTAAACCCTGCCTGAAGAACCCAAGTCCTACTTTCTCCCCGCAATAGGATTCATCTTCGGCAACCTGCAAGAAAGTAATGTAGGGGCCGCAATCATTACAAGTAGTGTTTCCTACAGGCACCGTTCCTATCTTGACGGTTATAAGGTCTTTGAGTATTGAAAGATGTTGGGCTTGTTTCACCTTGTGCACAGCCCTCATCGTTGATGTGCTATGACTTTCCACAGACCTGTCCCCTTAAATAACCTTGGGGCTGAATTACCCCTAACATCCCTAACTAGCCGTACTGTTGGGGGGAACCTAGGGGAGGTAGAAAAGGGGGGGTAGCAGGGGAGGTCTGGGCTCCTGTATTAGGGTTTGGGTCTTAAGGTAGAGACCCCAAACTCGAATCGCTCACCAGGACCATGGAGCGCCACAACGCCTCGGGCCACCGGGGCAAAGACAGCCAGGAGCTTTGGGGATTTAGGGTTTAGGGTCCAGGTTTTTGGGTTTAGGGTTTAGGGGTTGTGGCCTTTCAGGGCTTGAGGGGCCTTTCGCGGCCACGAGGAGCCCTAAGCAAGTACAGCCCGCAGCCCTAAGCTGAAAACCCTCAAACCCTTCAGTCCTGAAAGGGTTTAGGGTAACCCCCAAACCCCTCAACCCTGAACCCTTGAACCCTATAAACACCCTAAATCTTGGTCCTAAACCCTACAAAAACCCTAAACCTTAAACCCGAAGGCCACCCTCCCCCCGCCCCCCCGGTTTAGAGTAGGTATAGGGAGTCTAGGACCCAGAGTACGTAGACCCTGATTCCCTTTTTGGGGGGTTGAGGTTCCCTTTTCAGCCGCTTAAAAAAACAACAAGGGCACCCTTGTTATTCCTAGGATGCGCTGTCTATGTTTAGGGTTTAGGATTCGCAGGTTTAGGTCTCAGGTTTAGGGCTTATAGGATTTCAGGTTTAGGGTTTGCAGGTTCAAGGTTAGGGTTTGGGGGGCAGTTTCTGTCCCGCCTGACATGAGGCCAAAAAAGAGGCAAACCCCCGAGCCCCGCCCGAAACCCTAAACCTTAAAACCCTTAACCCTGCTCCCTGAACCCTATACCCTTAACCCTAAACCCTACTCAGGAGACCGTCGTCTCGGCGGCGGTGGAAGGTGCCAGGCACATGTCGTGGTTCAGGGACTAGGTTTAGGGTTTAGGGTTTAGGGTTTAGGGTTTAGGGTTTAGGGGTTAAGGTTAAGGGTTAGGGTTTAGGGATTAGAGTTTAGGGCTTTGGGTCAGGCGCGAAGTGTGTAAGCACCGGCCGCGCAACCAAGCCTTCGGCCAACATGGCCGACTAGTTTGTGCGTGTTGAAGGACAGCTGTTGCACAATGCTCCCTCATTGAGAGAAGCAAGCCCTGGATCTGGAACCCGGCCTGAAATAACGGGGGAAAGCGTAGCACGAAGCCCTGATCCTGGCCTGTTTCGTCCGAAAGTGGCCCCCACACCCCAAGCCCCAAGCCCTGGGCCGAGGAGGGATCCGTGTGGCGGCAGCGGCGGCGGAAGGCGCGATGTGTAATTAAGCACAAAGATTTCGGCCAACGTGGCCGACTAGTGACTAGTGGACGATATTTCTTCGTGCTGAAGGCTGTTGCAACATGCTATCACATGCTCCCTCATTGAGAGAAGCTTGCTCAAGAGAGTCTTGCCGCGTATTTTGTCTTCGACGTTCTTCGTCTTTGCAGCCATGTGCCGGGGTAACACGATGGAGTCTATGGCGCCTCGTTGCGTGGTCCTGGTCGACCCTTACTCCACCGGAGCTATGTTGGCTCCTGAGCTTGATCTGCGAGGCTACGCAGTGATTGCCCTCTGGACCAAGGAGTGTGGCGAGAACCGCGGCCACTTGCCTAAGGCGGCCAAGGGCTTTCCAGAGAAGTTCCTGGCAGAGGTAGACGAGCAAGACACCTTGGCCCTCACCGCCGACGCGCTGCGCAAGGCGGCGATCTGCAGCGAACCGCTTGCGTTGATCTGCGGCGGTGAGACGGGCGTGAAGGTGGCGGATGCTTTGTCGGAGCACATGGGGCTCCGGGGCAACACCACGAAAGGTGGCATGGCGAACCGCCGCGACAAGCAGGTGCAGCAGGATGCGGTGAAGGCCTTCGGCTTGCGCTCCGTGCGCTCTGTGTGTGGCAGGGCCTGGGAGGAGGTGAAGGACTTTGCGGAGACGGAGGTGCTGCCGATGATTGTGAAGCCTGTGGAGTCTGCAGGCTCTGATGGGGTGAAGCTTTGCCACAGCCTAGCAGAGGTGGAGGAGCACTTCCAGCTGCTCATGACCTCTCAGCGCAAGTGCGGTGCCCAGGGGGCAGCTGTCTTGCTGCAGGAATACCTCAAGGGCACGGAGTACATCGTGGATCACGTGTCCCGTGATGGTGTGCACAAAACCACCATGGTCTGGGTCTACGACCGCCGCCCTGCCAACGGCGCTGGCTTCGTATGCTTCGGGCAGCAGTGTGTGTTGCCTGACAGCCCTGTGGCCCAGGAACTCATTGCCTACACCCGGGGCTGCTTGGACGCGCTGCGCATCACCGATGGTGCCACTCACACGGAGGTGATGATGACTGAGACCGGGCCCTGCTTGGTGGAAGTCAACAGCCGCTGCCACGGGGCTGCGGGTTCCTGGATGCCCTTGGCACGAGCCATGACTGGCTACACGCAGGTCGATGCGTGCGTGGATGCCTTCCTGAGTGCTGAGGCCTTTGAGCGCCTTCCTGATGTGCCACCTCCGTTTCTGGCATCTGGGCAGGTGTCCATGCTGGTCTCGTACCATGAGGGCCAGGTAGAAGCCACGCAGTTTCAGAAAGTTCGAGAGCTCCAGTCCGTGGTGTTCCTGGAGGAGAATCTTCATGCAGGCCATCGCGTGGAGAAGACCATCGATGTCTTTAGCCTTGTAGGGATGTGTGTCCTGGTGCACTCCGATCCGGTTGTCTTGGCCAGTGATCTGGATTGCATCCGCCAGATGGAGCACGAAGGCTCCCTTTTCGTCTTGGCCAACTGAGCTTGAAATGCTGGCAGCAGACCTCTTGTGCTTGACCTTCCCCTATCTTCCAATCGCATCCCGTTGGTCAGTCCATCGGGGTGTGCGCGCATGAACGCCCGAAGCGCTTCTAGAAGGCCTTTGTGTGCGTGTGTTTTGCTAAGTGTTTGCATGTCTTCGGCCTTGCGCCCGATCCGACCAAGAAGCGTCGATCCCCATGAGGTTCGAGCCCCCATGCTGTGAGGGGCCTCCAAAGCTCCAGAGCTTGCGACTCTTGCGACTTGCGAGTGTGCGGAGACTGTACAGGCTTCGAGTGAAGTTCGGAGGCGCTTCTAAATGCATGGAGCTGAAAAGATGAGGCGACCGCTCTTGGGCCCACTGGGGAGGCTTCCAGGAGGCCCCTGAACCTCCGAGCACCTCCGAACCCAGAAAGCCTTCAGGCACCGATCGCTGCAGCGGCCGCCGCCGCCTTACTTTGCACACAGTTGCGATGTGTTGCGGTTGCTTGTCGGTTCAGGCGGTTCAGGAGCTTCATCTTCGCTCAGACTGACTAAGTTCTGCAGGGTCTTCAGAATTTTTCGGCATTGGAGTTTTCCTGATGTTTCGCCCCTGCCCTGAACCCTGTGTAATTGCGAGGTCTGTACTTAGCCCCACTTGCAGCACCCCTGACAGTGCATTCAACTCAATATCCCAACTGCGCCCCAACACTGCGGCATCTAAGCCTCCCAGCCCCAATCAGCCAAATCAAGCCCTGCACCTGGAACCCCGCCTGAAATATGGGGGAAAAGCGTAGCACGAAGCCCCACGCCCAAACCCCAATCCCTGAGCCCTGAGGAGGCACCCGTGGCGGCGGCGGCAGAAGGCGCGAAGTGTAAGCACAAAGCCTTAGCCTTAGGCCAACATGACGACAAGCGACTAGTTGACGATATTTCTTCGTGCTGAAGGCTGTTGCAACATGCTATCACATGCTCCCTCATTGAGAGAAGCTTGCTCAACAGAGTCTTGCCCTGTATTTTGTCTTCGACGTTCTTCGTCTTTGCAGCCATGTGCCGGGGTAACACGATGGAGTCTATGGCGCCTCGTTGCGTGGTCCTGGTCGACCCTTACTCCACTGGAGCTATGTTGGCTCCTGAGCTTGATCTGCGAGGCTACGCAGTGATTGCCCTCTGGACCAAGGAGTGTGGCGAGAACCGCGGCCACTTGCCCAAGGCGGCCAAGGGCTTTCCAGAGAAGTTCCTGGCAGAGGTGGACGAGCAAGACACCTTGGCCCTCACCGCCGACGCGCTGCGCAAGGCGGCGAACTGCAGCGAACCGCTTGCGTTGATCTGCGGCGGTGAGACGGGCGTGAAGGTGGCGGATGCTTTGTCGGAGCACATGGGGCTCCGGGGCAACACCACGAAAGGTGGCATGGCGAACCGCCGCGACAAGCAGGTGCAGCAGGATGCGGTGAAGGCCTTCGGCTTGCGCTCCGTGCGCTCTGTGTGTGGCAGGGCCTGGGAGGAGGTGAAGGACTTTGCGGAGACGGAGGTGCTGCCGATGATTGTGAAGCCTGTGGAGTCTGCAGGCTCTGATGGGGTGAAGCTTTGCCACAGCCTAGCAGAGGTGGAGGAGCACTTCCAGCTGCTCATGACCTCTCAGCGCAAGTGCGGTGCCCAGGGGGCAGCTGTCTTGCTGCAGGAGTACCTCAAGGGCACAGAGTACATCGTGGATCACGTGTCCCGTGACGGTGTGCACAAAACCACCATGGTCTGGGTCTACGACCGCCGCCCTGCCAACGGCGCTGGCTTCGTCTGCTTCGGGCAGCAGTGTGTGTTGCCTGACAGCCCCGTTGCCCAGGAACTCATTGCCTACACCCGGGGCTGCCTGGACGCGCTGCGCATCACCGATGGTGCCACTCACACGGAGGTGATGATGACTGAGACCGGGCCCTGCTTGGTGGAAGTCAACAGCCGCTGCCACGGGGCCGCGGGTTCCTGGATGCCCTTGGCACGAGCCATGACGGGCTACACGCAGGTCGATGCGTGTGTGGATGCCTTCCTGAGTGCTGAGGCCTTTGAGCGCCTTCCTGACGTGCCACCTCCGTTTCTAGCATCTGGGCAGGTGTCCATGCTGGTCTCGTACCATGAGGGCCAGGTAGAAGCCACGCAGTTTCAGAAAGTTCGAGAGCTCCAGTCCGTGGTGTTCCTGGAGGAGAATCTTCATGCAGGCCATCGCGTGGAGAAGACCATCGATGTCTTTAGCCTTGTAGGGATGTGTGTCCTGGTGCACTCCGATCCGGTTGTCTTGGCCAGTGATCTGGATTGCATCCGCCAGATGGAGCACGAAGGCTCCCTTTTCGTCTTGGCCAACTGAGCTTGAAATGCTGGAAGCAGACCTCTTGTGCTTGACCTTCCCCTATCTTCCAATGCCATCCCCTTGGTCAGTCCATCGGGGTGTGCGCGCATGAACGCCCGAAGCGCTTCTAGAAGGCCTTTGTGTGCGTCTGTTTTGCTAAGTGTTTGCATGTCTTCGGCCTTGCGCCCGATCCGACCAAGAAGCGTCGATCCCCGTGAGGTTCGAGCCCCCATGCTGTGAGGGGCCTCCAAAGCTCCAGAGCTTGCGACTCTTGCGACTTGCGAGTGTGCGGAGACTGTACAGGCTTCGAGTGAAGTTCGGAGGCGCTTCTAAATGCATGGAGCTGAAAAGATGAGGCGACCGCTCTTGGGCCCACTGGGGAGGCTTCCAGGAGGCCCCTGAACCTCCGAGCACCTCCGAACCCAGAAAGCCTTCAGGCACCGATCGCTGCAGCGGCCGCCGCCGCCTTACTTTGCACACAGTTGCGATGTGTTGCGGTTGCTTGTCGGTTCAGGCGGTTCGGGAGCTTCATCTTCGCTCAAACTGAGTGAGTTCTGCAGGGTTGCTTTCGGAGTTTTCTTAATGCTTTGACCCTGCTCTGAACCCCATCTTGGTAGCTCAGTGGTACCCTTTTCCCCTTTTTTTGGGTTCAAGGTTCCCTTAGAAACTCACCAACCTCAAAAAAAGGTTTCCTTATTATGATATGCCGTACTGAGCTCCACTTGTAGCACCAACACTCGGGCAGCCCCAATCAGCCGAATCACGCTCCGGACCTGGAGCCCCCACCTGAATTGAGCGGGAAAAGCGTAGCACGAAGCCCCTGATCCTGGCCTCTCCCCTTAGAAGGCCCAAACCCCAAACCCCAAACCCTGAGCCCTGAGGCCTGAGGAGGCACCCGTGGCAGCGGCAGCGGCAGAAGGCGCGATGTGTAGGCTCTTTTTCTTCATGCTGAAGGACGGCTGATGCCACATGCAATCACAGGCTCCCTCATGCAGAGAAGCTTGCTCAAGAGAGTCTTGCCGCGTTATTTTGTCTTCGACGTTCTTCGTCTTCGCAGCCATGTGCCGGGGCAACACGATGGAGTCTATGGCAGAGTCTATGGCGCCTCGTTGCGTGGTCCTTGTCGACCCCTACTCCACTGGAGCTATGTTGGCTCCTGAGCTTGATCTGCGAGGCTACGCAGTGATTGCCCTCTGGACCAAGGAGTGTGGCGAGAACCGCGGCCACTTGCCTAAGGCGGCCAAGGGCTTTCCAGAGAAGTTCCTGGCAGAGGTGGACGAGCAAGACACCTTGGCCCTCACCGCCGACGCGCTGCGCAAGGCGGCGAACTGCAGCGAACCGCTGGCGTTGATCTGCGGCGGTGAGACGGGCGTGAAGGTGGCAGATGCTTTGTCGGAGCACATGGGGCTCCGGGGCAACACCACGAAAGGTGGCATGGCGAACCGCCGCGACAAGCAGGTGCAGCAGGATGCGGTGAAGGCCTTCGGCTTGCGCTCCGTGCGCTCTGTGTGTGGCAGGGCCTGGGAGGAGGTGAAGGACTTTGCGGAGACGGAGGTGCTGCCGATGATTGTGAAGCCTGTGGAGTCTGCAGGCTCTGATGGGGTGAAGCTTTGCCACAGCCTAGCAGAGGTGGAGGAGCACTTCCAGCTGCTCATGACCTCTCAGCGCAAGTGCGGTGCCCAGGGGGCAGCTGTCTTGCTGCAGGAGTACCTCAAGGGCACGGAGTACATCGTGGATCACGTGTCCCGTGATGGTGTGCACAAAACCACCATGGTCTGGGTCTACGACCGCCGCCCTGCCAATGGCGCTGGCTTCGTCTGCTTCGGGCAGCAGTGCGTGTTGCCTGACAGCCCTGTGGCCCAGGAACTCATTGCCTACACCCGGGGCTGCTTGGACGCGCTGCGCATCACCGATGGTGCCACTCACACGGAGGTGATGATGACTGAGACCGGGCCCTGCTTGGTGGAAGTCAACAGCCGCTGCCACGGGGCCGCGGGTTCCTGGATGCCCTTGGCACGAGCCATGACTGGCTACACGCAGGTCGATGCGTGCGTGGATGCCTTTCTGAGTGCTGAGGCCTTTGAGCGCCTTCCTGACGTGCCACCTCCGTTTCTGGCATCTGGGCAGGTGTCCATGCTGGTCTCATACCATGAGGGCCAGGTAGAAGCCACGCAGTTTCAGAAGGTTCGAGAGCTCCAGTCCGTGGTGTTCCTGGAGGAGAATCTTCATGCAGGCCATCGCGTGGAGAAGACCATCGATGTCTTTAGCCTTGTAGGGATGTGTGTCCTGGTGCACTCCGATCCGGTTGTCTTGGCCAGTGATCTGGATTGCATCCGCCAGATGGAGCACGAAGGCTCCCTTTTCGTCTTGGCCAACTGAGCTTGAAATGCTGGCAGCAGGCCTCTTGTGCTTGACCTTCCCCTATCTTCCAATCGCATCCCGTTGGTCAGTCCATCGGGGTGTGCGCGCATGAACGCCCGAAGCGCTTCTAGAAGGCCTTTGTGTGCGTGTGTTTTGCTAAGTGTTTGCATGTCTTCGGCCTTGCGCCCGATCCGACCAAGAAGCGTCGATCCCCGTGAGGTTCGAGCCCCCATGCTGTGAGGGGCCTCCAAAGCTCCAGAGCTTGCGACTCTTGCGACTTGCGAGTGTGCGGAGACTGTACAGGCTTCGAGTGAAGTTCGGAGGCGCTTCTAAATGCATGGAGCTGAAAAGATGAGGCGACCGCTCTTGGGCCCACTGGGGAGGCTTCCAGGAGGCCCCTGAACCTCCGAGCACCTCCGAACCCAGAAAGCCTTCAGGCACCGATCGCTGCAGCGGCCGCCGCCGCCTTACTTTGCACACAGTTGCGATGTGTTGCGGTTGCTTGTCGGTTCAGGCGATTCAGGAGCTTCATCTTCGCTCAAACTGAGTGAGTTCTGCAGGGTTGCTTTCGGAGTTTTCTTAATGCTTTGACCCTGCTCTGAACCCCATCTTGGTAGCTCAGTGGTACCCTTTTCCCCTTTTTTTGGGTTCAAGGTTCCCTTAGAAACTCACCAACCTCAAAAAAAGGTTTCCTTCTTATAATATGGTTACTGAGCTACTAAGCTATAGTTCATCTCGAGGTCCGTACTGAGCTCCACTTGTAGCACCAACACTCGGGCAGCCCCAATCAGCCGAATCACGCTCCGGACCTGGAGCCCCCACCTGAATTGAGCGGGAAAAGCGTAGCACGAAGCCCCTGATCCTGGCCTCTCCCCTTAGAAGGCCCAAACCCCAAACCCCAAACCCTGAGCCCTGAGGCCTGAGGAGGCACCCGTGGCAGCGGCAGCGGCAGAAGGCGCGATGTGTAGGCTCTTTTTCTTCATGCTGAAGGACGGCTGATGCCACATGCAATCACAGGCTCCCTCATGCAGAGAAGCTTGCTCAAGAGAGTCTTGCCGCGTTATTTTGTCTTCGACGTTCTTCGTCTTCGCAGCCATGTGCCGGGGCAACACGATGGAGTCTATGGCAGAGTCTATGGCGCCTCGTTGCGTGGTCCTTGTCGACCCCTACTCCACTGGAGCTATGTTGGCTCCTGAGCTTGATCTGCGAGGCTACGCAGTGATTGCCCTCTGGACCAAGGAGTGTGGCGAGAACCGCGGCCACTTGCCTAAGGCGGCCAAGGGCTTTCCAGAGAAGTTCCTGGCAGAGGTGGACGAGCAAGACACCTTGGCCCTCACCGCCGACGCGCTGCGCAAGGCGGCGAACTGCAGCGAACCGCTGGCGTTGATCTGCGGCGGTGAGACGGGCGTGAAGGTGGCAGATGCTTTGTCGGAGCACATGGGGCTCCGGGGCAACACCACGAAAGGTGGCATGGCGAACCGCCGCGACAAGCAGGTGCAGCAGGATGCGGTGAAGGCCTTCGGCTTGCGCTCCGTGCGCTCTGTGTGTGGCAGGGCCTGGGAGGAGGTGAAGGACTTTGCGGAGACGGAGGTGCTGCCGATGATTGTGAAGCCTGTGGAGTCTGCAGGCTCTGATGGGGTGAAGCTTTGCCACAGCCTAGCAGAGGTGGAGGAGCACTTCCAGCTGCTCATGACCTCTCAGCGCAAGTGCGGTGCCCAGGGGGCAGCTGTCTTGCTGCAGGAGTACCTCAAGGGCACGGAGTACATCGTGGATCACGTATCCCGTGACGGTGTGCACAAAACCACCATGGTCTGGGTCTACGACCGCCGCCCTGCCAATGGCGCTGGCTTCGTCTGCTTCGGGCAGCAGTGCGTGTTGCCTGACAGCCCTGTGGCCCAGGAACTCATTGCCTACACCCGGGGCTGCTTGGACGCGCTGCGCATCACCGATGGTGCCACTCACACGGAGGTGATGATGACCGAGACCGGGCCCTGCTTGGTGGAAGTCAACAGCCGCTGCCACGGGGCGGCGGGTTCCTGGATGCCCTTGGCACGAGCCATGACTGGCTACACGCAGGTCGATGCGTGCGTGGATGCCTTTCTGAGTGCTGAGGCCTTTGAGCGCCTTCCTGACGTGCCACCTCCGTTTCTGGCATCTGGGCAGGTGTCCATGCTGGTCTCATACCATGAGGGCCAGGTAGAAGCCACGCAGTTTCAGAAGGTTCGAGAGCTCCAGTCCGTGGTTTTCCTGGAGGAGAATCTTCATGCAGGCCATCGCGTGGAGAAGACCATCGATGTCTTTAGCCTTGTAGGGATGTGTGTCCTGGTGCACTCCGATCCGGTTGTCTTGGCCAGTGATCTGGATTGCATCCGCCAGATGGAGCACGAAGGCTCACTTTTCGTCTTGGCCAACTGAGCTTGAAATGCTGGAAGCAGACCTCTTGTGCTTGACCTTCCCCTATCTTCCAATCGCATCCCGTTGGTCAGTCCATCGGGGTGTGCGCATGAACGCCCAAAGTGCTTCTAGAATGCCTTTGTGTGCCTGTGTTTTGCTAAGTGTTTGCATGTCTTCGGCCTTGCGCCCGATCCGACCAAGAAGCGTCGATCCCCGTGAGGTTCGAGCCCCCATGCTGTGAGGGGCCTCCAAAGCTCCAGAGCTTGCGACTCTTGCGACTTGCGAGTGTGCGGAGACTGTACAGGCTTCGAGTGAAGTTCGGAGGCGCTTCTAAATGCATGGAGCTGAAAAGATGAGGCGACCGCTCTTGGGCCCACTGGGGAGGCTTCCAGGAGGCCCCTGAACCTCCGAGCACCTCCGAACCCAGAAAGCCTTCAGGCACCGATCGCTGCAGCGGCCGCCGCCGCCTTACTTTGCACACAGTTGCGATGTGTTGCGGTTGCTTGTCGGTTCAGGCGGATGAAGCTCAGACTGAGTGAGTTCTGCAGGGTCTTCAGCCACTTGCGGAGTTTTCCTGATGCTTCTCCCCTGCCCTGAACCCTGTATAAGTGCGAGGTCCGTACAAAGCCTCCCAGCCCCAATCAGCCGAATCAAGCCTTGGACTTGGAACCCGATATGAAATAACAGACTTCTCGTAATACTGTAATACTAGTGACAGTAGTAATCGTAGTAGCCGAAATAAATTTAATGGTAGCATCTAAACCCATCTCAACCCTAAACCCGACACCTGAAACCGGAAAGCTACGTCTTGAAAAAGCAAACACACACACACACATCTCAGAGGGTGTGGCCCAAAGAAGCGCAGATATAGGTGGAGGCGTGCCCGCTTTTCGCCATGGCCTGCAAGTTGTGCGCTGCCTGCCTTCTACTCACATGCCTCTCTATCTGCCATAGAACAGGGGGCTAATCTAGGGGTCGGAATAATTACCAAGAGTATTCCCTTATGGTCTCCTTTATGACTAGACTATACTATAATAATAATCCCCAAAACCCTGTTCTAATTATTCAGGCACCTATAGTAGGGTGCTACGTTTTTTCTTTTCAACCCCAAGGCCAAAGCCCTAAACCAGGCTGACGTGCACTATTTGTTTGCATGTTTTCGGCATGTTTGCTTTTTCATATGTTTTCGGTTGGGATGTTCCCCCTTAGACTAGCAGTCCTTAATCGCGATTTATAGTCCCCCGATTAGAATCCCCCTTGAGGACAGCTAGTATAAAGGGGAACATCCCCACACTAAAGCCTAAACCTGAACCCTAAACCCTAAACACTAAGCCCTAAACCCTAAACCTAAACCCTGTAAACCCCTTAACACCCTCAGCCCTCAACCCTCAACCCTAAAGCCTTAAACCCTAAACCCTAAACCCTCAGCCTTAAACCCTAAACCCTAAGCCCTAAACCCTAAACCCTAAACCCTAAACCCTAAACCCGTGTTCGCTCTTTTTTGGGTTCTCCTGGACTCCGAGGTCGCCATGCCATGGCTGGGTACCGCGTGGTCGACACGGCGCAGGCGAAGTGCTTGGGTAGCTGAGTGGTGCCAATTTGCCCCCCTTTTGTTTATTTATGTTTATTTTATGTATTTGGGGTTAGGGTTTAGGGTTTAGGGTTTAGGGTTTAGGGTTTAGGGTTTAGGCACTTAAAAAAGTAGTGAACATCTGAGACGGGTACCCTCACTACAACAATGCTTGGCCGGCTGCTAAGGTGCTTTGGGGCCCAAGACGCCATGACTTGTCCCTCGAGTGGTGCGTTCCTTGGCCAAGACGCGCAGTACCATGGCGTTCAGCCCAGCTACACCGACAACCTGGATGGGACTGTGACTGATGCAAACACCGGCCTCATGTGGCAAAAGGATCCTGGGCCCAAGATGCAGTATGCTGACGCCGTGGCAGCTGTCAACAGCTTTACCTTGGCCGGTCACAGCGATTGGAGGGTGCCAAGCATCAAGGAGCTGTACTCCTTAATTCTGTTCAGTGGACGAGATGTGTCTGGGGCTCAAGGTACAGACACCACAGGATTTACGCCCTTCATCGACTCCGCCTTCGGCTTTCAATATGGCAATGTGACCGCTGGGGAGCGCGTCATCGACTCACAATGGGTCACCTCCAACGTCTATGTCTCCACCGTGATGAACCAACAGGAGTGCTTCTTTGGTGTCAACTTCGCGGATGGTCGTATCAAGTGCTATCCGACCTCATCCACCTCGTCAGCAAATCCCGAAAGTCCTTCTTCCGGCGAGGCCCCTGGTGGGTGCACGGAGGGGTCGGGACCATGCACGGGTGGGGCATGTCCTGATGGTCCGCCTCCGGATGGGCTTTGCCCAGATGGTTCCAAACCGCCGCCACCCAGCAGGCGATTGGCCTCGATGGGCTATTTTACCATCTATGTGCGGGGCCCCGTGTGTCATGGCGACATTCTCGACATTTCTTGGTTCTTGGTAATACGAATTCAGTTAAGCGCAAATGGGTCTCATTCATTTCAAAAAAATGCTTCTGAGTGTCAAGCAGCGCTTGAGAGGTACGGGGAGAATCGCTTTGCAAAGATCGAGAACGCGAACTTTTCATCCAGCGCCGTCATTTGCGATGAAGCCACCAACTTAACCTGGATGATTGAAGATAGCGGCCAAGGGTTCTCCTGGCAAGAAGCTCTTGCATACTGCGAGAGTTCCTCACATGCGGGCTTGACAGACTGGCGACTGCCCAATGCGCATGAGCTCCATACCATCGTGGACTACGGCCGCTCTCCAGACACCACCAACTCAGCAGCGATTGATCCGCTCTTCGTGGTGACTCTATCACCCTTGGGAATTACTTTTTTGTTCATATAAAACCCAAGAGGATATTAAAAACATCTTATTTTAATACGGTTCTAAGAGGAGTATAGGTGAGCCCTCTGATGAACGAGGCCGGGCAGACCGACTACCCCTTTTACTGGACGAGCACCACGCATGCGACCGAGGGACAGGTGGAGGGAGGCCTATATCCCCCCTTTGGGAATTATAGTGTTTTTTTTTAACTAATTTTTTTCATATAAAACCCGAGAGGATGTTAGAAATATTATTTTTACTAAGGTTCTAAAGGGGAGTAGTATAGAGGCAACGCCGCGTACATCGGCTTTGGCCGGTGCCTTGGCAAGATGAAGCTTCGTCATAGTTGGGTACCATTTTACCTTTTTAAGGGTACTTAAACCCAATAAGGAATAAAGGTTTTGGAGTTTTTAATGCTATCCCGACCATGAGCTAGGAACGGTCAGTGGATGGATGTTCATGGCGCTGGCTGCCAGAGAAGTGATCCAAAGACAGGACATGCCAGCAACTATCCCGATGGGCATGGCCCTCAGGGGGATGCAGTAAGAATTCAGAACCACGTCCGCTGTGTGCGGACTGGCGTAATTTCCGCAAGCACGGACCCAGTCTCAATGTCCAGGGCCGGTGAGGCCAGTTTTGGGGGATCCGTCTTGGCTGCTTTGCTTTTGCCTCTGAGCGGTTTCTGACCGGATCAAAGGCGATGTTCCTGGCGATCCCGCAGAGAAGATGTAGGGAGGGCGAAGTGTCCAAGACAAGTTCGGAGCTCCTGGCAATATCGGATCCTGCATGATCGAGAGGCTGAATAGCCTTGGGGACCAAGTTAACCCCAACATCGGGGGTCATATGCCTCATACTACTCTACTTCCTATTAAGGCTTATGAGCCCTAAACACTTTTAGGGGGTCAAATGGTCCCGAAGGAGCACTGCGGCAAAAAGCCTTGGGCGATTACTTCGAAGGGCGGGGGCCCACAGGGGCAAGAGCAGAGACCCTAAACCCTAAACCCTAAACCCTAAACCCTAAACCCTAAACCCTAAACCCTAAACCCTAAACCCTAAACCCTAAACTGCCCTAAACCCTAAACCCTAAACCCTAAACCCTAAACCCTAAACCCTAAACCCTAAACCCTAAACCCTAAACCCTAAACCCTAAACCCTAAACCCTAAACCCTAAACGATCGGGCTGAAGGCTCCATCCCGCCAGGGTTCTGAGGCCTGCATGCTTAGTTTAGGGTTTAGGGTTTAGGGTTTAAGGGTTTTAGGGTTTTAGGGTTTTAGGGTTTTAGGGTTTTAGGGTTTTAGGGTTTTAGGGTTTTAGGGTTTTAGGGTTTTAGGGTTTTAGGGTTTTAGGGTTTTAGGGTTTTAGGGTTTTAGGGTTTTAGGGTTTTAGGGTTTTATCACCCCACGCCAAAAGATAGAAGCGTTTTCTTCCTTATAAGGGCAATGTAGGGATTAGGATTCTAATTTTTTGATGTGCTTCTGAAGCAAAGAGTACCCAAAGAGCCCAAGGCCCCCTTAAATCTCAAATAAAGAATATGCCTTAAATCATATATCCTTCATATGATGGAAGGTATATTCCTTGGGATGTTCCCCTTTATTCTAACAGTCCTGAAGGATTATCGTACCCCTATTATAACCCCTATTCAGGAGGACTGTTAGTATAAGGGGGAACATCCCCACCCTAAACCCTAAGCCCTAAACCCTAAACCCTAAACCCTCAACCCTAAACCCTAAACCCTAAACCCTCAACCCTAAACCCTAAACCCTAAACCCATTTTAATTACGGCGTATTGGGCAGCTCTGATCCTCAGCCCTGATGTCTTCTTGCCTTGTTTACAGCCCTAAACCCTAAACCCGAAACCCTAAACCCTAAATCCTAAACCCTAAACCCTAAACCCTAAACCCTAAACCCTAAACCCCCAAGCAGAGCCCACCCCACAGGATGATCTTTTGAGGAAGGCGGTACTTCAGGAGTCCAGGAAGGCTTAGGCAGAAGCCCCTTAAAGGCGACCACTTGCCCGGGCTCTTAGGTTTAGGGTTTCGGGTTTAGGGTTTGGGGTTTGGGGTTTAGGGTTTAGGGGTTTAGGGTTTAGGGTCAGGGGTTTTTTTGGGGTTTTGGGGTTTTGGGGTTTTGGGGTTTTGGGGTTTTGGGGTTGGGGTTTTGGGGTTTTGGGGTTTTGGGATTTAGGGTTTAGGGGTTCAGGGGTTCAGGGTTTAGGGGTTTTAGGGGTTACGGGTTTAGGTTTAGGGTTAGGGTTGGGGTTTGGGTTTAGGGGTTCAGGTTTAGGGTTCAGGGGTTCAGGGGTTTAGGGGTTTAGGGGTTTAGGGGTTTAGGGGTTTAGGGGCTTAGGGGCTTAGGGGTTTAGGGGTTGAGGGGTTTAGGGGTTTAGGGGTTAAGGGTTCAAGCGTTTAAGGGTTTAAGGGTTTAAGGTTTGGACTCTTAACACTCCCTCCGCCCAGCATCGCCAATCGCCGAGGTGTTGAACAACTTTCTGCACTCGAGGCCCATGGATGGTTGCACTTGGACCCCACGTTGTTGCACGCTTGTTTTGTGTGCAGAAGTTCCTAGACTCTGAACCCGAAAAAGCCTTGTGGAGATGCTGCACAGGCTAAATAAAAGGAGGATAGTCTCACCGAGACCGCTGCAACCGGAGTGCGGAACGCCTTGGATATTGGCATTTCGTTGTGACTTCTTGTCTTGCCAAACAATGTGTGTGTGTGTGTGTGTGTGTGTGTGTGTGTGTGTGTGTGTGTTCGTGTGTTCGTGTGTTCGTGTGTGTTCATTACCATTCCGTTCCAGGGCGTCCTGGCTGCGCAGTCCAAGTCCTAGGAGAACACAGAGGGTTTTAGGCCAGGGTTTCTAGGTACTGCCAGGCTTGATAAGGTTTGTGGAAGGCGTGGTGCGCGCTTTGCTTCATGACCGCTGCCAAATCAGTCCATGATGACACGCGTTTCGCTAGAACAGACATGGCTGAGCGCATCCTTTTCCTGGATGCGGTAGGTACCCAGTCAGGATTCCGAGCCATGCTTAAAGTCCCTTGCGTCGCGTGCCGCACGGTAGTGAGGACCCAGGAAAGGCTCTGACAACTCGCAGCGTCTCGACGGACGTGCTGACAACTAGCTCCAACATTGTATTCAGTTGTGAACTTAGTAGTAGAGTAGATAACCTTTAACCTTTTTGGGGTAATCTAATCTCCTTAGAATCCCAAAGGTTAACCTTTAGTTCCCCTAGGCACTGGACAACTCAGTGAAAGCTGGCAACCTGCACAGGTGCAACAGTCGCGCCTTCTCGATGCCATCGAGCGAAAGTGAAGGCCATCGGGGAGATGAAGCCTCACCGAAAGACACGTCGATTTGGACCATTAGGGTTTAGGGTTTAGGGTTTAGGGTGTTGCCCTGCACCTGAGGTTCTAAACTTGAGGCCACTAAAGTGCTGATGCTCTCAGTCATGCTGCAATGCGAAGTGACTCGACCTCCTGAAGCCCATTGTGACCTTGTGGCAAGATGCCGACCCTACAGACTCACCTGAAATCTCTTCGAGATTTCCGCACTCGCTGAGCATTTGCCAGTCAGATCAGTCAGAGAAGGGCCCGCAGTGCGAGTTCTGAGGGACAGAACTTAATCCCCAGCCATGTTGCGCTTGCTTGCGGTGACCGCCTGCCTCGCCAAAGTCGCCATCGCCACGTGCCCTGACGATCCGGAGGTGGACCTTTGCGAGACAACCGGTGAAGAGACGGGCTCCGGATTCCGCAGCACACCATGGATGGCGCTGGTGCTGCCCCTCGCCACGGCCCGGCCCAAGGTTGCCACAGGCTTGGCATTGGCATTGGCCCTGGTTGTCGGGGCGGATGCAGCCACCTGCGGCGAGTTGAAGGATTTCTACAGGACTGAGAATTGCTGTGGCTCCCCCACCACGGTGTTGAGCAACCCGGTGCCAGGCACTGCAACTTGTCCGTACAACTTCAACAAGCCAGCTTGCAGCACGGCCGAGCCGCAGACGCCTCGCGACCTCTCAACTGGTGCTACGGGCAGCATGGTGCCGAAGGCGGCCACGCTGACGGATGCTCAGGCCAACTTCCTGCCGCTGGTGAACGTGCACTTCCACTTGGGGGCTGAGCACAAGAGCGATGCCTACAACAACGACACCGACGCGATGGCATACGACGCGGCCTCCTCCGGCAGGCGCCTTGCCAGCAACCCACGGCCTGGCTTCATGTGCCCCACGGACACGCTCACGGACGCGCAGATGACGCCGTACACCTTTCAGCACTGCAAGGGTGACGTGCAGGTTGGCAAGTCCTACGAGGTCCACTACGTGCACTCTTCAGCCGGCACCGACTACAATGCTTCGGACGACATGAATGCGGACCTCCTTGCCGATGGTTTGGGAGGCACGTGAGCATGCAACCTACTACCCTGACCTGCCTGTCATGCAGTCAGCGTGGGTGGGTCAACGCGTGCGCAAATGCGGATGTGTGTGTGTGTGTGTGTGTGTGTGTGTGGGTGTGTCTGTGTGTGTGTGTGTGTGCGCGCTTGTGTGTGTGTGTGTGTGAGTGTGTGCGTGGGTGTGTGTGTGTGTGTGTGTGTGTGTGTGTGTTTTCGTGTTTCTGTTTCCGAGAGCCGACGTCTTAGTCTTGCTGCTTCGGCGAGGCACTGCATTTCCAGGGCTCTTGATAATTACAGTGTGTGTTTTTTCGACAGCATCTGAGCGCGTGTTCATGTTGCAGGTGCCGCAAACGGCCGTGGCCTTCTGAACCCTATGGTCGTGGTGCAGGGCCAGATCTACCAGATCGTGAATGGGGGACCTACCGTGAACGACCTGTTGCACGGCTGGACTGTTGTTGGCCATGCCAACTCAGTCATGTACTCAGGGTCACATGGTTCGCAAAAGGCACCGCTCCTTTCTCAGTATATAAGTAAGTCTCAAATGTATGAGAGAGATATCAGATTGGTCCAAACTTGAAACCAAGCCTGAAAATTCTTTAAGGCTTTTGCGCCATAATTACACCCCAGGTCTTTTAGATTATAGACCGTACACAAGCACACAAGCCTCCTCTACCCTAAACTCTGAGCTCTGAACTCTCCGGAAACCCGAAAACCTGGAGCACGAAACCCCAAAGCCAAAGCTCCAAAACCCTGGACCATAAACCCTCAATCCAATCCTGACCCTAAGTTCGTTGAGTTGGGGTCGAACCCATGTTGCAGACCCCCGTTTGACTTCACGCCCGATCCTAGGTCAACCACCGGCCAGTCGCACGACAACTCAGTGTGCTCTCCATACGTCATCACTTGGCATGTGGACAAGGATTGCCACCAGGTTTCTCCCGAGTCTTTCGACAACCTCTGCAAGCAGATGAAGGACATGTACGGGATGTCGGTTGACCTCGAACCCCACGGCTCCCGCATTCTGGTGTCTTCGACCTACGTGGTGCGTTCTGAATACGTCGTGCCCTTGGCATGAAGAGTGTGCAGAGGGAGTGAGGCGGCTTCATCTGTCTGTCCAATTCTTTAAAGTTTTCCTAGCCTTAGAGGAGTTGATGTCTTCGGGTGTCTGATGCGCCCCAAAGGGGCTCATCTCCTATTGAATGCCCTACCGACTCCCAGTGGCTCCTAGCGCAATCTCGAGATTGAATGTCTGAGGCTCGTCTTGGGATGCCCCGGGAAGCTTGCCCTGAAGCACTGTGCAACGCACAGCGCCGACACGTTCCTATTTGCAAATTCACATGTGCAGGCGTCGTGATGCCAGCAAGCGATATGGAGAAACGAGATTGGTGCTCTGAGGAGTTCGGCGGGTGGTGGGGGGGGGGCGCGGCGGGGGCTTGCGCTTCTACACCGCACCGATCAATGCTGGTAACGTCGGAAGTTTGCAGAGAAGCAGAGGTGCTGCTTTGCCATCAGCTGTTCTGAGTCAGGGAAATCGGTCTGCTGATGTGTTTTGCTCTGAGCATTTGGCAGACAGAGGAGCGTTTGCAACGATATTTTGCCAGGCAGTCGTATCCAGCCATGCTGCGCTTGCTTGCCTTGTCCGTGGTTGCGGCGGATGCCGCCACCTGTGGCGACTTGAAGGATTTCTACAGGACTGAGAATTGCTGTGGCTCCCCCACCACGGTGTTGAGCAACCCGGTGCCAGGCACTGGAACTTGTCCGTACAACTTCAACAAGCCAGCTTGCAGCACGGCCGAGCCGCAGACGCCTCGCGACCTCTCAACTGGTGCTACGGGCAGCATGGTGCCGAAGGCGGCCACGCTGACGGATGCTCAGGCCAACTTCCTGCCGCTGGTGAACGTGCACTTCCACTTGGGGGCTGAGCACAAGAGCGATGCCTACAACAACGACACCGACGCGATGGCATATGACGCGGCCTCCTCCGGCAGGCGCCTTGCCAGCAACCCACGGCCTGGCTTCATGTGCCCCACGGACACGCTCACGGACGCGCAGATGACGCCGTACACCTTTCAGCACTGCAAGGGTGACGTGCAGGTTGGCAAGTCCTACGAGGTCCACTACGTGCACTCTTCAGCCGGCACCGACTACAATGCTTCGGACGACATGAATGCGGACCTCCTTGCCGATGGTTTGGGAGGCACGTGAGCATGCAACCTACTACCCTGACCTGCTTGTCATGCAGTCAGCGTGGGTGGGTCAACGCGTGCGCAAATGCGGATGTGTGTGTGTGCGTGCTTGTGCGTGGATGTGTCTCTGTGTGTGTGTGTGTGTGTGTGTGTGTGTGTGTGTGTGTGTGTGTGTGTGTGTGTGTGTGTGTGTTTTCGTGTTTCTGTTTCCGAGAGCCGACGTCTTAGTCTTGCTGCTTCGGCGAGGCACTGCATTTCCAGAGCTCTTGATAATTGCAGTGTGTGTTTTTTCGACAGCATCTGAGCGCGTGTTCATGTTGCAGGTGCCGCAAACGGCCGTGGCCTTCTGAACCCTATGGTCGTGGTGCAGGGCCAGATCTACCAGATCGTGAATGGGGGACCTACCGTGAACGACCTGTTGCACGGCTGGACTGTTGTTGGCCACGCGAACTCCGTCATGTACTCAGGGTCACATGGTTCGCAAAAGGCACCGCTCCTTTCTCAGTATATAAGTAAGTCTCGAGTGTATGAGAGAGATATCAGATTGGTCCAAACTTGAAACCAAGCTTGAAAATTCTTTAAGGCTTTTGCGCCATAATTACGCCCCAGGTATTATAGATTATAGACCGTACACAAGCACACAAGCCTCCTCTACCCTAAACTCTGAGCTCTGAACTCTCCGGAAACCCGAAAACCTGGAGCACGAAACCCCAAAGCCAAAGCTCCAAAACCCTGGCCCTGGACCATAAAACCTCAATCCAATCCTGACCCTAAGTTCGTTGAGTTGGGGTCGAACCCATGTTGCAGACCCCGCGTTTGACTTCACGCCCGATCTTAGGTCAACCACCGGCCAGTCGCACGACAACTCAGTGTGCTCTCCATACGTCATCACTTGGCATGTGGACAAGGATTGCCACCAGGTTTCTCCCGAGTCTTTCGACAACCTCTGCAAGCAGATGAAGGACATGTACGGGATGTCGGTTGACCTCGAACCCCACGGCTCCCGCATTCTGGTGTCTTCGACCTACGTGGTGCGTTCTGAGTACGTCGTGCCCTTGGCATGAAGAGTGTGCAGAGGGAGTGAGGCGGCTTCATCTGTCTGTCCAATTCTTTAAAGTTTTCCTAGCCTTAGAGGAGTTGATGTCTTCGGGTGTCTGATGCGCCCCAAAGGGGCGCATCTCCTATTGAATGCCCTACCGACTCCCAGTGGCTCCTAGCGCAATCTCGAGATTGAATGTCTGAGGCTCGTCTTGGGATGCCCCGGGAAGCTTGCCCTGAAGCACTGTGCAACGCACAGCGCCGACACGTTCCTATTTGCAAATTCACATGTGCAGGCGTCGTGATGCCAGCAAGCGATCTGGAGAAACGAGATTGGTGCTCTGAGGAGTTCGGCGGGTGGTGGGCGGGGGGGGCGGCGCGGCGGGGCTTGCGCTTCTACACCGCACCGATCAATGCTGGTAACGTCGGCGGAAGTTTGCAGAGAAGCAGAGGTGCTGCTTTGCCATCAGCTGTTCTGAGTCAGGTAAATCGGTCTGCTGATGTGTTTTGCTCTGAGCATTTGGCAGACAGAGGAGCGTTTGCAACGATATTTTGCCAGGCAGTCGTATCCAGCCATGCTGCGCTTGCTTGCCTTGTCCGTGGTTGCGGCGGATGCCGCCACCTGTGGCGACTTGAAGGATTTCTACAGGACTGAGAATTGCTGTGGCTCCCCCACCACGGTGTTGAGCAACCCGGTGCCAGGCACTGCAACTTGTCCGTACAACTTCAACAAGCCAGCTTGCAGCACGGCCGAGCCTCAGACGCCTCGCGACCTCTCAACTGGTGCTACGGGCAGCATGGTGCCGAAGGCGGCCACGCTGACGGATGCTCAGGCCAACTTCCTGCCGCTAGTGAACGTGCACTTCCACTTGGGGGCTGAGCACAAGAGCGATGCCTACAACAACGACACCGACGCGATGGCATATGACGCGGCCTCCTCCGGCAGGCGCCTTGCCAGCAACCCACGGCCTGGCTTCATGTGCCCCACGGACACGCTCACGGACGCGCAGATGACGCCGTACACCTTTCAGCACTGCAAGGGTGACGTGCAGGTTGGCAAGTCCTACGAGGTCCACTACGTGCACTCTTCAGCCGGCACCGACTACAATGCTTCGGACGACATGAATGCGGACCTCCTTGCCGATGGTTTGGGAGGCACGTGAGCATGCAACCTACTACCCTGACCTGCTTGTCATGCAGTCAGCGTGGGTGGGTCAACGCGTGCGCAAATGCGGATGTGTGTGTGTGCGTGCTTGTGCGTGGATGTGTCTCTGTGTGTGTGTGTGTGTGTGTGTGTGTGTGTGTGTGTGTGTGTGTGTGTGTGTGTGTGTGTGTGTTTTCGTGTTTCTGTTTCCGAGAGCCGACGTCTTAGTCTTGCTGCTTCGGCGAGGCACTGCATTTCCAGAGCTCTTGATAATTGCAGTGTGTGTTTTTTCGACAGCATCTGAGCGCGTGTTCATGTTGCAGGTGCCGCAAACGGCCGTGGCCTTCTGAACCCTATGGTCGTGGTGCAGGGCCAGATCTACCAGATCGTGAACGGGGGGCCTACTGTGAACGATCTGCTGCATGGCTGGACTGTTGTTGGCCACCGCGAACTCCGTCATGTACTCAGGGTCACATGGTTCGCAAAAGCACCGCTCCTTTCTCAGTATATAAGTAAGTCTCGAGTGTATGAGAGAGATATCAGATTGGTCCAAACTTGAAACCAAGCTTGAAAATTCTTTAAGGCTTTTGCGCCATAATTACGCCCCAGGTATTATAGATTATAGACCGTACACAAGCACACAAGCCTCCTCTACCCTAAACTCTGAGCTCTGAACTCTCCGGAAACCCGAAAACCTGGAGCACGAAACCCCAAAGCCAAAGCTCCAAAACCCTGGCCCTGGACCATAAACCCTCAATCCAATTCCTGACCCTAAGTTCGTTGAGTTGGGGTCGAACCCATGTTGTAGACCCCGTGTTTGACTTCACGCCCGATCCTAGGTCAACCACCGGCCAGTCGCACGACAACTCATGTGCTCTCCATACGTCATCACTTGCATGTGGACAAGGATTGCCACCAGGTTTCTCCCGATCTTTCGACAACCTCTGCAAGCAGATGAAGGACATGTACGGGATGTCGTTGACCTCGAACCCCATGGCTCCCGCATTCTGGTGTCTTCGACCTACGTGGTGCGTTCTGAGTACGTCGTGCCCTTGGCATGAAGAGTGTGCAGAGGGTCTGTCTGTCCAATTCTTTAAAGTTTTCCTAGCCTTAGAGGAGTTGATGTCTTCGGGTGTCTGATGCGCCCCAAAGGGGCGCATCTCCTATTGAATCCCTACCGACTCCCAGTGGCTCCTAGCGCAATCTCGAGATTGAATGTCTGAGGCTCGTCTTGGGATGCCCCGGGAAGTCTTGCCCTGAAGCACTGTGCAACGCACAGCGCCGACACGTTCCTATTGCAAATTCACATGTGCAGGCGTCGTGACGCCAGCAAGCGATCTGGAGAAACGAGATTGGTGCTCTGAGGAGTTCGGCGGGTGGTGGGGGGGGGGGGGGGGGGGGGGGGGGGGGGGGGGGGGGGGGGCGGCGCGGCGGGCGCTTGCGCTTCTACAGCTTCTACACCACACCGATCAATGCTGGTAACGTCGGAAGTTTGCAGAGAAGCAGAGGTGCTGCTTTGCCATCAGCTGTTCTGAGTCAGGGAAATCGGTCTGCTGATGTTTTTTGCTTTCTTTGGCCAGGCAGAGACCCATGAAGTGATTTCGGCCAGGCAGCCGTGTCCAAGCGCTCTGCGTTTGCTTGCCTTGTTTGTGGTAGGGGTCGGCACCCCAACCCCCGGTCCGCTTGTACATATGCATGTAAATAAAGAAAGATACATGTCTATCTCTATATCTATATCTATATCTATATCTATATCTATATCTATATCTATATCTAGATCGATATCTATATCTATATCTATATCTATATCTATATCTATATCTATATCTATATCTATATCTATATCTATATCTATATCTATATCTATATCTATATCGATAGATAGATGGATAGATAGTCCCGCCCCATTTCTTGTGGTTTCTCCTGGCGGGATGGTGGGTGGGGGGTTTGTTTAGTCTTTAGGGTTTAAGGGTTTGTGTAGGGCTTTTAGGGTTTAGGGTTTTGGGGTTTAGGGTTTTGGGGTTTAGAGCTCAGGGTTTTCCTGGTTTTTCGGAACTTAAGGGTGTGTTCACGGTTGCACACTTTAGGGTTTTAGGGTTTATGGTTTGGGGGTATAGGGTTTAGGGCATATGTTTCGGCTTTGCGTGAGCGTTTTTGGGTTTACGGGTGGGAGGGGGAGGGGTGGGGCTACCATGGTGGACTGCTGACACGGCGACACGGAACACAAAAAAGCACACAACATGTATATGTGTGTGTATATATATGTATATATATATATATACATACATACATACATACATACATAATATGTGTACTGTGTGCATATCTCTATATATGTATGTGTGTCGATGATCTGCCCTGTGCCACTATAATCCCTATCATGGACCTCTCAACCCTTTTTAAGAATATTTAGTCCCCGAAAATTCGTCGAGATTCCGAGCCGTCCCCAATGGTTCCACCGGAAGCCCCAAGCCAGGTTGCTGCGGTGGTAGCAGCTTCGCCAGCTGCCTGAGGCTCAGATGTACCAGCGAATGTGACAAATATCCCTTAAAGGGAATATACCTTAAATCATATAGGGATCCTGAGTGTACAGCTGGACAGGAGAGCTGGGAAAGCGGGGAAAGCGGTTGTATGAAGGAGCGCGGGCAAGTGTGCGCGCATCATGAGCACGGAAGGTCACAAGAGGGTCCGTCGGGGCTGTAGGGCTGTAGCCCCCGCAACAAGCCCGTAGGGGGGGCGGGCAGGCCTGCTGTTTTAAATTGAGCTTACTCCAATTGCTTGACGTGTCTGCAAGAACTTGCCTTCAACCCAAGGCCCAAAACACCAAAGCCCCTCCACCAGTCAAGCCTGCCACAGGAACCCCTGACCCGGAACCCCGCCTAAACAAAGAAATCGAGAGTTCCGGAAACAGCCGGAGTGATCCATGCACCCGCACTCTGGAGCCCTGACAGCCCTCATCTCCAGACAAGCATCCTCTATGCATCCTCTTGTAACTGGGTTGGTTTTTGGGACATTTGTTATTTTCCTCATTTGGGTTTGTAAGGGGCACTATACATAAATATTTTTCAGAGGGTTGAAAGGCCAACCCAGGTCAGCAAACCCCGAGCCCAGGCGCGAAGTTCTCATTCTCCGCCAAGGGCGCGGCTCCTGGCGGCAGCCACGGCCAGGTGGGTTTAGGATTTAGGATTTAGGGTTGAGGGTTGAGGGTTTAGGGTTTAGGGTTTAGGGCCTAGGGTTTAGGGTTTTCGGGCTTGCCGATTGCCACGTTGCTCATTGACGGCTGTTCCCACGTGCTCACTAACCGAGAGAGAAGCTTGCTCAAGAGAGTTTTGTCGCGCATTTTGTTTTTGACGTTCTTCGCCTCTGCAGCCATGTGCCGGGGCAACACGATGGAGTCTATGGCGCCTCGTTGCGTGGTCCTGGTCGACCCTTACTCCACTGGAGCTATGTTGGCTCCTGAGCTTGATCTGCGAGGCTACGCAGTGATTGCCCTCTGGACCAAGGAGTGTGGTGACAACCGTGGCCACTTGCCCAAGGCGGCCAAGGGCTTTCCAGAGAAGTTCCTGGCAGAGGTGGACGAGCAAGACACCTTGGCCCTCACCGCCGACGCGCTGCGCAAGGCGGCGAACTGCAGCGAACCGCTGGCGTTGATCTGTGGCGGCGAAACGGGTGTGAAGCTGGCAGATGCCTTGTCAGAGCACATGGGGCTCCGGGGCAACACCACGAAAGGTGGCATGGCGAATCGCCGCGACAAGCAGGTGCAGCAGGATGCGGTGAAGGCCTTCGGCTTGCGCTCCGTGCGCTCGGTGTGTGGCAGGGCCTGGGAGGAGGTCAAGGACTTTGCGGAGACGGAGGTGCTGCCGATGATTGTGAAGCCTGTGGAGTCTGCAGGCTCTGATGGGGTGAAGCTTTGCCACAGCCTAGCAGAGGTGGAGGAGCACTTCCAGCTTCTCATGACCTCTCAGCGCAAGTGCGGTGCCCAGGGAGCGGCTGTCTTGCTGCAGGAGTACCTCAAGGGCACGGAGTACATCGTGGATCACGTCTCCCGTGACGGTGTGCACAAAACCACCATGGTCTGGGTCTACGACCGCCGCCCTGCCAACGGCGCTGGCTTCGTGTGCTTCGGGCAGCAGTGTGTCTTGCCTGACAGCCCCGTTGCCCAGGAACTCATTGCCTACACCCGGGGCTGCCTGGACGCGCTGCGCATCACCGATGGTGCCACGCACACGGAGGTGATGATGACTGAGACCGGGCCCTGCTTGGTGGAAGTCAACAGCCGCTGCCACGGGGCTGCGGGTTCCTGGATGCCCTTGGCACGAGCCATGACTGGCTACACGCAGGTCGATGCGTGCGTGGATGCCTTCCTGAATGCTGAGGCCTTTGAGAGCCTTCCTGACGTGCCACCTCCGTTTCTGGCATCTGGGCAGGTGTCCATGCTGGTCTCGTACCATGAGGGCCATGTAGAAGCCACGCAGTTTCAGAAGGTTCGAGAGCTCCAGTCCGTGGTGTTCCTGGAGGAGAATCTTCATGCAGGCCATCGCGTGGAGAAGACCATCGACCTTTTCAGTCTCGTAGGGATGTGTGTCTTGGTGCACTCCGATCCGGGTGTGTTGGCCAGTGATCTGGACTGCATCCGCCGGATGGAGCACGAAGGCTCCCTCTTCATCTTGGCCAACTGAGCTTGACATGCTGGAAACAGACCTCTTCTGCTTGATCTTGTTTTTATCTTCCTATCCCATCCCCTTGGTCAGTCCATCGGGATGGCGTGTTGTTGCAAGACTTCGACCCTCGCGCCCGATTCGACCAGGAAGCGTCGATCCCCGTGAGGTTCGAGCCTCCCTTGCTGCGAGGATTTGGCCTCCCATAGCTCCTTGACTTGCGATGGCACGTCAGAGGCTACAGATTGTACAGGCTTCGGGTGAATGAAGTACGGAGGCACTCCCACGCAGATGCATGGAGCCGAAAGATGAGGCGACTGACGAGATGCTTGGCAACTCTCAGCTTCTTCTTATCGTTGGTTCGTAGGGAATGAGGGAATGAGGTACCTTATATCCCCGATATCTAACCTTCAAGGGATTATAGAAGTAAAATAAAAAGGTACTTCCATTCCCTCATCTCCCTACTAACCAACAGGAAGAGTTTGCTGCACGCTGGCTCAAGACCCATCTCATCTCCGGAGTTCCCAGAAGGATCCCCATATGACTCATATGATGTATACCCCTTAGCTAAGGGGTATTGGGCGGCTCTTCGGGTTCTCCATCAAATCTCAGATGACCTACAGGCCCTGAGTGTCGTAGAGCCTCGTGGCAGGTCTGGCAACATCTCCGTGCAGAGCTGGCACTGCATGAGACAGCGCAGCGAGGGAGAGGCTTCATTGCGTTGGGGGGGGTTAGGATTTCGGATCGCAAGGCTCCGGGCGTTCGCATTGGTGAGTTCAGGCTTTCGGGTGCTGAGTTTGGGTTCAGAGTTCAGAGTTTGAGATTGATAAGGTTCAGAAGCGTTTGGTTTTGCAGGGATAGTAGTGGCTTTCCCTGACTTGAGCTGTGAAGGTTGAGAAGCACGAGAAGATGCTGGCCCGGTGCCCGCGGATAGCTGACGTGAGGAATGGCATCGTGGGTGTTGATAGGTCTGATAGGTGCCTTACTTGGGTATGGTAGCATGTTGTGTTTGTGTGTGTGTGTGCGTGCAAAAAGACAGGAAAGCGTGAGAGTATCGTGTAAAGGGCTATCGGATCGCCGTTTGCATCTGCGGGCAAACGCCCGCACTTGCGGCAAAGACGAGTTGCGCGCTGTGGGATGTCAAAGAGGCTGCTTTTCGCTTAGCTTGAGGGAAGTAGGGCCTTGTGTACCCTCTTAGGGATGAGAGAGAGGTACCTCATTTCCTCATTCCCTACTAAGAATTAGTCACCCTAAACCCTAAACCCTAAACCCTAAACCCTAAATCCTAAACCCTAAGCCCTAAGCCCTAAGCCCTAAACCCTAAACCCAAAACCCTAAACCCTAAACCAGCCAGTCAAAGCTTCGAAGGCCCTTGGAGACCCTCAAGTGGCCGCGCCTTCAAACAGGGGCTCAAAAACTCTGCGCGGCGCCCCCGCGGAGACAGCGCTGTACGGCTTCCAAGACAGGAGTGGGGCTTTCCGATGTTAGGGTTTGGGGTTTGGGGTTTAGGGTTTAGGGCTTATAGGGTTTAGGGATTAGGGGGATACCCTAGTTTGGGGGAGTTCCTTGAATAAGAAGTATAATGCGATTTGGGGGTTAGTAGCCATTGACAACGCCCCTTGATTTGCAGGTGTCGCGCGTACAGGCGTGCACATCGAGTTCTGGTTAAGGCTTCTAGGGCTTGGGATTTACACATAAGAGATGTACCAGTATGATAATCGAACAATATGTTTCTTATAACCATAAGAAATATAGTATACAAGTGTATGTTAGGGTTTGGGGATTTGGGGAGGCTTGGTTCCTCTCGGGTTCAGGGAGGGCTTAACGCAACGTTTTTTTGCAAGCCGAAACTGGCAGGTGGGGGTCTAGGCTTTAGGCTTTAGGCTTTAGGCTCTAGGCTTTAGGCTCTAGGCTTTAGGCTTTAGGCTTTAGGCTTTAGGC